GGGATCTTCCTGCTTCTTGGTATGACATATTTTTAATACAGAAGCCTGAAAATTTGGGATATCGTGTTATAAGACTCCAAATCTTATATAAACCTCTTATTTCATTAAGCTTTCTGTGACATAGCTCCAGCGGAAGAAGAGAAAGCACCACCTCATCACTGCCAGGTGGAAACAGAAGTCCAAGAGAGATTCTTTGTTACCACTTGACATGTATGAAAATCTGGGTACTCCCTGATGGAGAAAAGGATTGCCTCATTATGGCCATCATGTAACCTACAATAGCACCATGGAGGGGGATGTGGACATCTGTTATTACTGGTGATGGTGAAAGCCCTTACTCTATTGGCCTTTATGAACACAATGCCAGTCAGGAGGGGGAAGAATACCTCATTACTGCCATCTGTGGGTAGAAATCCAGACTACCCACTTTGCTTTTTGATGGTGTGGGTAGGGATAGGGCCACGGATCTTTTTCCGTGGTATTTAACAGGCACAGAGTAGTTATTGTCAATGTGTTCTGTCTTGCTTGCTGCCATTTTTGTGGTCCTTTGGTTTAAGAGAGAGGCTTTTGTTGGTACTTCTGTGCCCCCTGTCATTTCTGGGTTGCTGACTTCTTCACCTCCAAATCTGACAAAAAGGCAGAAAGATAATCCAGCAAACTCACTGCCATATTGTTCCTTAAGTCCCAAGGTTACGAGCCTGTCTTCTTATCTCAGTTTCACATATAATGTCCAATATTTCTAGTTGTGCTTAGCAAAAGAAATAGGAAAAAGTAGATTTAGTCTATCCTTCAAATACAAGTCTGAAATATCCACTGTTAGAGTGTGAGAACAGGCAGAAGTTCCCACCAAGAAAATTAGAAAAAGGCAGTGACAGTGGTAAGAGGAGAACCAAGTAAATCTGACAAAACAAATCCAAAGGAAAGAGAAAGTTTCAAAATAGAGAAGTGTCAAGAGTAAAGTGCTAAAATAAGGTCAAATAAAATAAGGGCTTAAAAGAACTATAAATAAATGAATTCAAGAGCAGTTTATAAATAATTCTGTAGAAGTGAAATCGTGATTGCAAAACAACTAAAGGAGAAAGTAGTAAGAACAAAGAAAAAAACATAATTTGGGATTAAGGAGTTGATGAAAGAAATCTGAAGGACAACTGACATGAGAACAATAAAAAAATACCATGTGCAGTAACCACTATTACAAAAGTAAGCAGAGAATATCAGAGGAGCAATGAAGATGGCTACCTAACTTAGCTAGGTCCTAGGAACAAAACCCAACTTAAAAAAAAAAAACTATGCCGACAATCTTGAAGTGGAATGATGCTCATATATCTTAAGTTTTAAAAGCAGTTTTAAAAGCAGAAATGGTATATAAGGCATTTTCTATCATACAAAAATGTTTTTGTTCATGTATAAGAAATGTATATACATATGTGTAGCCATACAAACACATTCTTGATTATCTTCCACCTAGTCAGCTAATTCAAGGCCTGCATTCTACTCTCTTATACATCCCCACACACTGCTCCCACCAGAACCAGTTGGGTTTCTCTCCAAATCCATTCTTGACGGTTGTACTTACTACTGTATATAATTAATATGATACAAACAGGTTACACGTAAGTGGGAAAGAGGTACTTCTAAGAAAACTAAGCCTAACGTTTTGGAAAGCTAAAAATACGTTACTTTTTTAAATGGTAGTAAAAGTAAATGTGGCACAACTATATATTAAAGGGAAATCATAGTACCAAAAAGATTTTTTTTTTTTTTGATACAGGTCACGCATTGTCACCCAGGCTGTAGTACAGTGGCATGATCTCAGCTCACTGCAGTCTCTGCCTCCTGGGTTCAAGCAATTCTCCTGGCTCAGCCTCTCGAGCAGCTGGGACTACAGGTGTGCACCACCATGCCCAGCTAATTTTTATTTTTTTGTATTTGTAGTAGACACAGGGTTTCACCATGTTGGCCAGGATGGTCTTGATCTACTTATCTCATGATCCGCCCACCTTGGCCTCTCAAAGTGCTGGGATTACAGGTGTGAGCCACAGCGCCCAACCAAGGTTTTTTTTTTTTTTTTAAACAGACGAGTAGTTCTGTACTCAGATTGCTTTGCCAGAGCCTTTATGATCCTGTTCTACTTTAAAACACCAATACCAGGAAGACAATGCATTATGGGTATGTTTTATGCAATCAGCCTTTGCCCACTCCAAGAAAAGGTCTGCTCCACATGAAATATCTAAAGAAAGAATTATTATGCTTTTAATTGAATAAAAAAAATGTTTGGGGTATATTTGAAACATTTATTTGATGATTACATGCTAACAAATGTTTTTAACCAACCAACCAACCAACCGATGGTATTAGACAGGAAGACTTTCTCTGTAGACAGAGGCAGTCTCTCTCCCTCTGTCTCTCTCTCTCTCTCTTCCTCTAACTTAGTGTCTATTTAAGTAGACAATATTATACATTTTTCTTGATTTTCCTTTTGCATATTTACTTGTCATATAATGAACTTACATTTTTTGTAATAAGAAAAATATTTTTAATTACCCAAAAGAATAATCTTACATTAATGCCTAGGCAAACAGAAATCTAGGTGGTTTAAAATCAATATACAAAGCTTCTTCAAATGAGAAAAAATACATTACTGCTCACATGTGACAAACTAACAAATTTCATATCTTAAACTTGGAAGGTCAGCTTTAATACCATATAATATCTAGATCCAATTTACATTCCTCTGTCAGAGTAATATATCACCAATGCTGAATATAATTATAGCTTATTTTAAGCTTTCATTTTCACATACCTTTACCAAGGTGACTAAATACTTAAAATGAACAGTTCTAGGAGGGAGTACAAAGCAATTAGCATGCCCTGTGGGGCAAGACAAACATACACCTACATGCCATTCAATGGCCCATCCACCAAAATTACACTAAATTATAGAGCCAGGCTGGGAATTCAGGAACTATTATAAATAATGTTCAGACTGTAAAATCTACTAACTTTCAAAATACAACCACTAATATGTATATTTTCTTGAAATATACTTATTAAGAAAACTGTATATTTAAAAACAATCATTTATTCCCACTTTTTATATTAGATAAGATAACCCAGTATTCTGCTAGTCTTTTTTTTGGAAACAGAGTCTTGCTGTATTGTCCAGGCTGGAGTGCAGTGGTATGATCTCTTCTCACTGCAACCTCTGCCTCCCAGGTTCAAGCAATTCCCCTGACTCAGCCTCAAGAGTAGCTGAGATGACAGGCATGCACCACCACGCCTGGCTAATTTTTGTATTTTAGTAGAGACAGGGTTTCACCAGGATGGTCTCGATCTCCTGACCTCATGATCTACCCAACTCGCCCTCCCAAAGTGCTGGGATTACAGGTATGAGCCACCACACCTGGCCAATATTCTGCTAGTCTTTTTCTGGCTATGACATACTGAAAGGCATAAAATATCCAAATAAAATGAAAATAAAACCAGATTAACAGGAATTATAAAAAACAATGCACAAGAAACAAGAGTTCTTGACCTTTAGATGAACAAATAGTAAAAGAACAATGGATTTAAAAACATATACACTAGTATGTGCTCTAATCAAAACAAGTCCACTATTAAAAGAACCATATTATAGAAAAGGAAATATCTTGTTTGGAATGTATTAAATATTAGTAAGTAAGTTTCTTAGTCTCAGTTAAACATCAATAGTTCAGGAAAGCACTAACTTATTCATTTTAATATAGACTAATTTGCCAACAATATATGGGTAAAAGACGTTATGGTCATATTTCAGGCCTTTCATCACTTGTTCTCACCCTAAATATCTTTCACTACTTCTAGTCAGAACAGTCCTGATTATTAAATCCATGGTCTTCCCTTCATTCAATAAATTTCATTGCTACCTTTGTGTGGCAATGTACTCATAATGCTCCCCTCCACAGAACTGCCTTTGAAACAACTGAAACAATTTCATTTTTCAAGGCCAATTCACATTTCCTTCTTTTTTGAACTCTCACTGATTTGATTTCTCCATGTGCTCACCAAGTTCCATTCACTTGACCTCAGCTACCCGTCCGGTTAGTTCCCATTTCTCTTTCATCACAAGCATCCTCCGCACTTCTTGCCATCCATTCACACAATCTCACTTCAGTCTGGCTTCTACCACCAAGACTGCAAAAAAATCTATTTTCTCAAAGGATGCCAACAACCTTCCTCTTTCCAATTCCAACAATATCATCTTGCCCCACCTCACAGCAGTGCACTATGTAGTTTGTCACTCTCTTATTTTGAAACACTCTTTCTTAGGTCCAGAAACCAGCATTTAGGGTTCTCTTCCCCACTGGCTACTCCTCAGTCTGTGTTTCTGGCTCCTATTCCCTTTCTGGATCACCTATTTCTGGACCCTTTCTGAACCCAGAATCCTTCAGAACTTGTTCTGACTACTCATCTGTATCTTTAGCTTCCTTCTCCATACAGCCAGCTCACAATGGGATTCCATCCATTCTCAGGGCCTAAGCATCTCCACTCCACATATGTAAGCTCCAGACTCACATATCTAGGGGCTTGCTTGATGTCTCAAATTGTGATACTCTTTTAAACATGTCAAACTTAACATGTTAAAAAGAGTTATTTTGGGCCAGGCATGGTGGCTCATGCCCGTAATCCCAGCACTTTGAGAGGCAGAGGCAGGCCGATCACAAGGTCAGGAGATCCAGAGCTGACCAACATGGTGAAACCCCATGTCTACTAAAAATACAGTCGGGTATTTTTTTTTTTTCTCTTAAACAGGTTTATTTTAGCAGCTCAGTTTATTACATTCTGCATATTTCTCTTTTAATATGTTTATATTTCTGCCTGTTCTGCATAGGTGGCATATTCATTAACCTTTACAGCTGACTTTTTCATTTGTCATTTGCTGCTACCCGGCCTGAAGAAAGGAAGATAAAAAAATAAAAAAATCATTCTGTGGAAACATGGAGCAGCACTTCAGCAGAACTTTACTTCGATGCAGACTTCAGTGCTAGGTTTTCTTCCTCTTCTTTTTCAAATCCTGAACAGACGACAGACCTTCCCTTCGGATACCGAGCACAACACTTACGCAGTTCTTGGATGACAGCCTGACACTTTGATTCCACGTAGTTGTTGGCTTGTAAACATTTCTGTATCTCACAGGCATGCTTCTGGCACGGATCCTTCCGCGGCATATGCAGAAAAAGAATATAATGCTTCTTGGGCTAATTAACCCGTCTTGAGAACAGCGAGGCTTAAACTTCCAGGTCTACCCACCCTGGGCCACTCAACCCTAAGTTACGAGGTGCAGGCCGGCAACCAGAAGTGGTCCAGGGTGAGTTGTACGAGAGTCGGGGGCCGTGACTCGGAAATAAAACCTTAACTGTTCTGGGGAGTGACTTTCAAAAGAGCGTCCCCCCGGCTCAAGAGGCCAGCGTTCGTGGAGCTGTCGTCTTTAAGGGCTGCCCCCCGCGAGCGGTGGTCCGCGCACGGGTCTCCTTAGCCGGCAGGCAAAACGGGCAACGGCACTCGCGAGGCGCAGGCGCAGACGCCCGGACGCCGCTCACAGAGTCCGCCCACCTGCAGCCCCGCAGCGCCGCCTCCTGGCCGCCCCCGCCACCCCGCGGTCGCGGAGGCTGGCGCACGCCTGTAGTTCCAGCTACCCTGTACTCTGGAGGCTGAGGCAGGAGAATCACTTGAAGTCGGGAAGCGGAGGTTGCAGTGAACAGAAATGGCACCACCGCACTCCAGCCAGGACGACAGAGTAAGACTCCGTCTCAAGAAAAAAAAAAAAAAAAAAAACAGATGGGGTGGTATTTTTATTTTCTTCTCTAAAATTCACAGAACCAGTAACAATCTCCTCCACTGCAGTTAACAGCACTACTATCTGCCTATTTGCTCAAGTTAAAAAAAAAAAAAAAGTTATTCTCGATTCCTCCTTTTCATTCACATCCCACATCCAATCCATCAACAGGTCCTGCAGTTTCCACCTCCAATTTATCTGCAAGATTTACGCACCCCTTGGCCCACCACTGCTACAATCCTTACCCAAGCCACCCTCCTAGTTCATGTGACTAGTGCCGAAGCCTCCTACCTCACACCTCCTAGTCCACTCTCTCCTCCCTTCAATCTATTCTCCCTGATATGGTTTGGCTCTGTTTCCCCACCCAAATCTCACCTCAAATTGTAATCCCCATAATCCCGACAAGTCAAGGGCAGGTCCAGGTGGAGGTAATGGGATCATGGGGCAGTTTCCCCCATTCTATTCTCTTGAGAGTGAGTTCTCACAAGATCTCCCTTTTATAAGGGAAATCTCCCATTTGCCCTGCTTTCACTCACTCTCTCCTGTAACCCTGTGAAGAAGGTACCTACTTCTCCTTCACCTTCTGCCATGATTGTAAGTTTCCTGAGGCATCCCCAGTAAAGCAAGAAATGTGAGTCAGCTAAACCTCTTTCCTTTATAAATTACCCAGTCTCAGGCAGTTCTTTATAGCAGCCTGAGAATACACTAATACACTCCCTGTAGCAGTTAAAGTGATCCTTTTAGAAAGTTAAGCCAGAATAGTTCATCCTGCTTGAAATTCTTCAACAGACTTCCACTTACATAGAATGAAAATCCAGCATCCCTATCAAGATCTTTACAGCCATAACCTCCCTCATGGCCTGGCCACTGCCCATCTTCTCTGACAGCCTTTTGGATTCCACCATCCTCTCTCCATCCTTCTGTCACACACTCTCCACTTCATGTTCAGTACTACCGCCCACTCTTCTCTAAACTAGTTCCTTATCCTTTTGGTATCAAACTCCACCATCTCAGAAAGACTTTCTATAATCAGCTATAATAAAAAAAACCTCTCCGTTAATCACTCTCAGCCTCCATTTTTTATTTAATGAACTGATTATACCTTTTGTTTTACTTATTTGTGCTCTAGGTTTCTCTCTCCTATATGCTTCTCATTTACTGTGTTACCTAGCATAGCCCTTGGAATACCTGTGGCATGTATAGATTACAAAATCCTGTGCTATACTTTACTGGCATGTTATCCATGTCACATACCTAGGAACTTAACTAAGAGTTTTATTCTTTCCCATGTTAGATGCTTCTCTTTAAAAGGAATCTCAGTAATATAAGAAAAGAAATCCTTGAACCTAGTCTAGTATTCCAAATAGACAATGCATGAAAACACTAAAAATACCTGCTCTCCTATCTTGCAAAATGAGCAGTACAGGCTCATGCATTTTACTTTATTTCAGGCATTAATCTCCCTATTCTGTTTTTACTATTCAAATCCATTTAACATGTACTCTGATTTTCTCTCCTGAGTCCCATATTAAAGCTTCACAATGACACAACACTTTGTCCCCCTCCTGAGAAATTCATAGCATGGTGGAGAGAGCAGCCACACATATAGACTCAAGAGTAGCAAGGGCTCAAAACAAGTGCACTAGAAATATGTTTTACTAGTTTCTAAAGCTGTGTTGTCCAATAGCGTAGCCTCTAGACACATGTGGCTATTTAAATTTAAATTAATTAAAATTTAATTCCTAATCACACTAGCAACATTTCAAGTGCTCAACAGCCACATGTGGTAAACGGCTTCTGTAATGAACAAGACAGACATAGACCATTTTTGTCATTGTAGAAAGTTCTATCAGACTTCTGTTCAAATGGGCTAAACTTCTACTTAGCCCTGCAGAGGCACTCCAGGTGACATCAGTGACTCTAACCTTGTTTTGGGTGTTTCTTACATATTATTGTATTAGGCCATTCTTGCATTACTATAAAGAAATACCTGAGGCTTGGTAATTTATAAAGAAAAGAGTTTTAATTGACTCACAGTTCTGCAGGTTGTACAGGAGGTATGGTACCAGCATCTACTTCACTTCTGGTAAGGCCTTAAGAAGCTTCTAATCATGGCAGAAGGTGAAGGGGGAGCAGGCATACCACATGGCCAGAGCCAAAGTGTATGTGTTGGCCAGGGTGAGGGTTGGGGGAGGCACAGTTTTAAATGATGAGATCTTGCAAGAACTCTATCACAAAGATAGCACCAAGCCATAAGGAATCAGACCCATGATCCAAACACCTCCCACCAGGTCCCACATCCAGCACTAGAGTTTACAATTCAACAATAGATCTGGGTGGGGACAAACATCCAATCTTTATCAGTCTGCCCTTAGCCCCTCCCAAATATCATATCCTTTTAAAATTACGAAATGCAATCATGCCTTTCTAATAGTTCCCCAAAGTCTTAATTCATTTCAGCATTAACTCAAAAGTCCAAAGTGCAAAGTCTCATTTGAGACAAGGCAAGTCCCTTCTACCTATAAGCCTGTAAAATGAAAAACAAGTCATTTACTTCCAAGATATAATGGGGGTACAGCTATTAGATAAATGTTCCCATTCCAAATGGGAGAAATTAGCCAAAACCAAGGGGCTATAGGTCCCAAGCAAGTTTGAAATCCAATCTTAAAGCTCCAAAATAATCTTGAACTCCATGTCCCACATCCAAGCCACACTGGTGCAAGGGGTGGGCTCCCAATGCCTTAGGTAGCTCTGCCCTTGTGGCTTTCCAGAGTGTACCACCCACAGGTGCTCTCAGGTGCTGGAATTGAGTGTCTGTCGCTTTTCCAGGTGCAAGATGCAAGCTGCTGGCGTATCTACCATCCTTGAATCTGAAGAAAAGTGACCCCCTTCTCACAACTCCACTAGGTAGTGCCCCACTAGGGACTCTGTGTAAAAGGTCCAACCCCACATTTTTCCTTGGCACTACCTTAGCAGAGGCTCTGTGTAAGGATTCTGCCAGCCCCTGCAGCAGTCTTCTACCCGGACACCCAGGCTTTTCCGTAAATACTCTAAATAATCTAGGCAGAGGTTACCAAACCTCAGCTCTTGCACTCTGTGCACCCACTGGCTTAACACCACATCAAAGTCTCCAAGACTTACAGTTTGCACTCTCTGGAGCTGTGGCCCGAGCAGTACCTGGGCCCCTTAGAGCTGAGGTTGATGCCAGAGTGGCAGGGAAGCAGGGAGCAGTGTCTCAAGGCTGCACAAAGCAGCAGGGCCCTGGGCCTGGCCCTCAAAACTATTCTTCCCTCCTAGGTCTCTGATGAGAAGGGCTGCCAAAGGTCTCTGAAATGCCTTCATGGTTCTTCCCTCATTGTCTTAGACATTAACTCTTGACTCCTTTTGAGTTATGCAAATTTATCTAGCAAGTGGTTGTTCCACAGCCTGCCAGAGTTCCTCTTTGAAAAAAGTTGCTTCTATGCCACATGGTCAGGCTGCAAATTTTCCAAACTTTTATGTTCTTCTTCCTGTTTAAATTTCTTTGCTCTGACATTGGAGCATAGACAATTAGAAGAAGCTAGGGCACATCTTGAATGCTTTGCTGCTCAGAAGTTTATTCCACTGTGGTAAAGCACAGTGGCTCATGCCTGTAATTCCAACACTTTGGGAGGCCAGGGCGGACAGATCACAAGGTCAAGAGTTCGAGACCAGCCTGGCCAACATGGTGAAACCCCCTTCTCTACTAAAAATACAAAAAATTAGCTAGGCGTGGTGGCAGGTGCCTGTAATCCCAGCTACTCGGGAGGCTAAGCCAGGAGAATTGCATGAACCTGGGAGGAGGAGGTTGCAGTGAGCTGAGGCTGCACCATAACACTCCAGACTGGACAACAGAGTGAGACTCCAATTGTTTGTTTGGGGGGAAAAAAAAAAAGGAATTTCTTACATCCGGTACCCTAAACCATTCTGAAGTTCAACTTTCCACAAATCCCTAGGGCAGGAGCAAAATGCAGCCCAATTCTTTACTAAGGCGTAACATGCATGACCTTTGCTCTGGTTCCCAGTAAGTTCCTCATTTGTATCTGAGAATGGCTCAGCATGGATGTCACTTTCAATATTACTATCAGCATTTTGATCACCATCATTCAACCAGTCTGTAGGAAGTTTCAAACTTTTCCTTATATCCTGTATTCTTCTGAGCTCTCCAAATTCTTCCAGCCTCTACCCCTCACCCACTTCCAAAGTTCCTTCCACATTTTCAGGTATTTTACAGCAGTGCCCCACTCTTTGTTACCAATTTTCTGTATTAAGCAATTCTTGCATTTCTATAAAGAAATATCTGCATCTTAGTAATTTCTAATGAAAAGAGGTTTAATTGGCTCATGGCTCTGCAGGCTGTACAGGAAGCATGAC